CCCCCCCCCCCCCCCCCCCCCGATAGGCTGTTGATTGTTGTGATTGGCCACACATGACTTCTGGTATGTATCTGGTTGAGCTTATTGGTGATAATTGTGTATTGTGATTATTCTTGGCCACACATGACTTCTTGTATTAGTTTGTAAGTTAAGTACTGTGTTAGATATATTCTCATTCAACTTTCAATTGAGTATTTATTCTTATTTCTCTTTGACTGCAGACGGGTAAGAACTAAGGAATTGAGGAGCAGCACGGGGCCAGTGATGAATTGTGCAAAGTGGATGAGCCGTGTGCCACCAAATGAATTCATCTTTCCATTGACATTTATATTACTAAACTTAGTGTTTGGTTTTATGGAACTGTTTTGAGGCATCCTCAAATATTCTGTTTAAATTATTCTAATGAATTTTGTTAAGTACAACTAATGATTTGGTTTTTCAATGTTTGGAGACCTTATGGTGTGTGGATACTAAAATAGTAGTAACTCAGTTCGCTAACTCATTGGTTCGGGTTACGCGTGTTGGTGTTACAGATGCTTCGTTGGATGGGCGGTCATATGTGTATGAATAGGACAAATTAAAGATATGAGAGCTAAAATTGGAGTGACACCTATTGTAAAAAAGATGGTGGAAACACGTCTTTGGTAGTTTAAATATGTGGAGAGAAGACCAATAGAACATTATGTGAGAATTGTTGATCAAATGATGAATATACATGTGGCTAGAGGAACAGGTAGATCTAAGAGGACTTGGCAAGCAGTGATCAAGAGAGACCTTCGCGTGAATGATTTCATAGTAGATATGATACATGATAGGGGCAATGACGTTGGTTGATTCATGTAGCCGACCCCACCTAGTGGGATAAGACTTTGTTGTTGTTTTTGTTGTGGTCTTCCTCCCCAACATACAAATCTTTAAATATTGGTTTCACAACAATCATAAAAGTAATAGAAGCCGGATCATAATTTGAGTCATCCCCAATGTACTTTGTTAATTAAACATCACCCACGGTCTACCAATGTCTACGGTTCCATAAGGCCGGGAGTCCAACACTCCAACCATTCTAGGGAATAGCAGGCACCAACATTCGTTAAGATTTTTAAAATGTAATCAATTGACTTAAATCAAAGTTCATAGTTGTATTTTTCATTTTGAATATGATCAAAGTTCTTGGGACTCGAATCAAAGTTCGTAGTTATAGGAAGAAAAAACATTTTTTTTAATAATAGCCAACGTACCAAAATATGGTCATTGGCAACATTCAGCATTGGAAACGAGGTGTCCAATGCCTCTAGTTGCCTTCAAGCCGCCTATGTCGGGCGTCACACCGGAACGGGGCATGACCAACTGACTGGCGTACCCCGGCAGAGGAAACCCCCCATAACACATGGTCTAAGAGTTTTGTTTGGACGGCACAACTACAAAGTGCTCATTCTAAAGATTGCTCAAATATTAAATGTGTTGGTAAGTTGGTACAGTATAACACTGCACAAATTAAAACAAATTAGAAAAAGATAACCAACGTTGACTTATTCTTAAACTACATGTCTACATATTTGGAACAAAAAAAACAGTTCGGTCGCATTACTTTCTTAACAGTGTCTCAAGTGTAGAATTTTTTATACCTAAAATCGTTGTCAACAGAAATGTGGGATCATTCCAATTCAACCCACAATTCCATATTTACCCCTCATGGCCAATCTAACTAGTTTTGACACTTGCAAAGTTTCTCAGTCCAACTTTTACAACCCATCTTCTGTAAGAAGATGCCATTAATGGAGGCATTATCATGAAGGGAGAATTGTGACAAAAGATCACAGGTGACATAGAAAACAATACCACAAAGACAACATAATACTAAGGAGTAACCTTAAAAAACAGCATCAGACAATATAAGTTCATAACATAGGATCCCAAAAACATTCTAAAAAAACATAACAAAACTTGAGACATTCATTCATATCCTCATCAAGAGGAAAGCAGAAGAGACATCTATATAAGCCACTGGGACGGCTCTAATAGCTCACGGAAAACCCAACGGAGTGCCAAAATCGAAAACTCGGAACCCTTTTTTTGTAACTCAAAATCGATACGCGAACTAGACCGCGTACTTTATAGACGAAATGACGAGAAAGTCCCTACATTAGCTGCAAAACTTGTTATTCTGTGTTTGTTTCTCCATTCAAGTGCAAGAAACA